GAGAGAGAGAGAGAGAGAGAGAGAGAGAGAGAGAGAGTGTAGAGGCGAAAGAGGAAGGGTACAGATATAATACGGTTATGATAATAACGATAATATCTTGTCAATATTTTCAGCATCAGAGTGCTGTTTATGGCTCTAAGGATATCCTGCGAATTTCCACACAACATTCAGTTTGTGTTTCCAGCGCAGTCTAAGATAATATCCTCTTAGTGCAGAATTCGATTTGCTTTCTAATTCTGCTTTAACGTTTGTTTGCACCGCGAATGTGCATACAGCTGGTGTGTTCAGCCACTTTGGATGTTTACTGTATTTTAAAAAACCGTTCTCGGACTTCTTTTAAAATGTCTTTTCAATATTCTCTTTTTGTGAACAGAATGACAGAGTGAAACACCACTGAAATCTTCTTGACAAACAAACATACCACATCATAACTAGGCATTCCTCGTTGGGAGCGATATTTGAAAAAGAAGAAGTAAAATATCCGAAGTATGAAGAAACACTCGAATTATTACATGCTCTGTTACGTTCAGAAGTGACAAATGCATTTAGAGTCCACTGACATTTCCGTGGTGTTTGCTGATCGCCTTTCCTGTATTGATCACTTGTTCGTAGAGGAATAGGGATAGCAGCTCTACCGCAACCACAACCACCTCGACCACCACCACCACCACAACCACCACCACCACCACCACCACCACCACAACCACCAAGACGGACAGCCAGCAAAGAAGAATCACCACAACCCAAGATAGCCCCAACAACTCCCCTGCATCATCACCGCATCCATCAGCAGCCACAGTAGCAGCAACAGCAAAATTTGAAAACCCAGTGGGAATAATACTGCCCATCTCAGTACAACATTGACAACAGCAACACAAGGCAGCTGCACTATTCCCAGCAGCCTCCACGGCCAGGATTAACTGCAACATCTTCCTTGCAGGTACAACAGCAGCCGCATTCCCGCAATCACTAACAAAACTACACGCGCAACAAACAGCATCACCATCACCAGAACCACCAGCACCTCCGTCATCTCAGCAGCTAGCACAACGTCGAGTCCGAGGTGCGCCCCGCCCTCCCCTTGCCCGCGCACGATGACCTCATTGCTCATGGCCTGGTGGTGCAGCGTCGGCGGATGACGTCTCATGCACACCTCATTACATCACACCGAAGATACAACGTTAAAAGAAAGAGTGGCAAGAAGAGCATTTCTTTTCGGCTCAGAACTTCACCAATGTAAATAAAAAGTGTTCTTCCTTAATTCAAACAAACTTGAACAATCCTTTTGAAAAAATAAAATACTTCATTTAGCCTAAAAACCTATTTTAGGATATATGTTTAGACTAAATATGATTAAAGTATTGTCTAAAATAAAATAGAAAATAACTTGTTATATTATTGTAAGAAAAATGTGCACACAGTTATCACAAAGCTTCAGAGATCTCATTAGTTTATGGAAATAACATTTTCAAAAACCGTTTCCTCATCAAGGAAGATACGTTGTTCCACCAGTAACGATTCGTGAATAGATAAAATTAAAAAAAAAGTAGATCTCTAGGTTCTAATAATTTGTGAACAATATTAATATCTCCGACGAAACCAGTTCCTACACCAGCAGCAAATACCTAACGAATATAGCAACGTCTTTATTGATATACAGAATTGGTACGGCTGTCATCGAGAATGATGAGTATTGAAATAACAACGACTACCCTCAGAATATCAACGACCATAAAAAATACGCTTAAAGTAAAGTGCAGCACTTCTTCTTAATTCAGAGTGAACAAACAAACAAGCAAACAAACAAAACAAACAAACAAACAAACGAACTTGAAAGAAGCACAGTCAGCTCTCAAAGGAGGAGGAAGGACCTGGAGGTGACAGGACGACGGCACGTCTGAGTGTACATCTAGCAAAGGACGACGTGTTACGGTCTTCGTCTTCTTCTTTTGGACACACTCTCAACACTGTCTGACTCCAAGATATAGTTTTGAACGAAATAACATCAGAATTAAAGGCACGTCTCTTTAAAGGGGGTCTTGCTAGTTCCCATTCAATATCGTTTTTGGTGAAGAAGTAACATAGAAAGAAGTACGGTGAAGGTGAAATCTTCCCTGCTGTTGAGAGTTGACCAATACGTGTTTGTAGGCTTTCTCTGTGCAGCTGAAGCAGTTTGAGACAGAGAGTGAAGAAGGAGTTCAAGTCTTTGCCTCCATTTAGGAGACCTTCGCTCAACGTCCAGACTTTACCTCGATCAATCCCGACTTTATTCGTCTGTGGAAGGAACAGCCCAACACAAGTCCTAAAGCTATAGAGATTTCATTCAAGAAGATAATACCTGCAGATGAGATTTTTTCTTGTGCAACCCGAATTCTATCTCTTAAGTCAGAAGTCTTTATCCAACAGACCAGATTGATTTTTACTCAGGTAAGATCGGTTTCTATCAGTCGTTGGAAGAAATAGCACTGACGTCTGAACGGAAAAATTGTCTCTGAAGAAGACGTTCGCCGCTTTCAGATTCAACTCGTTCTGACTGGATTCTGTCTCGCTCCGCTCGAATATTCAGTCTGTCGTTAGAAAAAAATAGCAGACCAAAATTGGGGAACGAAAGGTCATCATTGTTCGAGACGTTTGCTGCGCTCAGGGTTCTTTTGCGTTCAGAACGGATTTTATGTGTCGTCACAAGAAATAGCAAGGCAAAGTCTAGAGAGAGCACAGCCTTACTACAAGGCCACCGTTATTGTGAATAGACTTTATCTCTTAGAGCCCGGATTTTCTCTTATACGGTCCGGAATCCATCCCACCAAGACCGGATTCTATCCCACTCAGATCGGATTCGGATTATATTCCACCTAGTTCGGATTTTATCCCACCCGGACCATCTTTTGTCTTAAAGTCTGGAATATATCTCGCCCTTACTGGATTGTATCTCTTACAGATCGGATTCTATCTCACCCATTCCAGATTTTCTCTTTTACAGTCAGGATTCTCCAGCCCAGACCGGATTGTCTCTTACAGTTCTGGTTCTATCTCACCGAGACCGGATTCTATCTCGCCCGGACCGGATTCTATCTCGCCCGGACCGGATTCTACCTGTTCTTGTACGGAATAGCAGGCCACACACGGCGGAGAAAGAACCGAGACTTCTCTCACGGAGACGTCGATCGCTGTCAGGAATTGGCCATCACTAGTTGGTCAGCGCGAGACGGGACGTCTAGCTCAGATTGATGGGCGATGCTGAACCCAGGGCACACCCTCGACCTCGGGGTCAGGCCTCACCCTTCATGCCCAGGTAGGTCACGACCTTTGACGTTCCATACTTGGTAAAATAGTATGGCAGTAAAACCTCTTTCAAAGCTGTATACAGGATTATCTAACTGGCCTTTCAACAAATACGACCCATTATCAGTATCCTCCTCCTCCTCTTCCTTCTTCTCCTCCTCCTCCCCCTCCTCCTCCTTCTTCTTCTCCTCATCCTCCTGCCCCCACTCCTCTTCCTTCTCCTCCTCCTTCTTATCCCCATAATCGATTTCATACCTTTTATGAAGATCTCTTTCTCCCTAACTATGTCTTTTTGCTTATCTGTTTGACTTGTTATGACTGTCTTGATTGTTTGAGCCAGACTCGGAATCAGACTTCAGGTAATCTGTGAATGTTCTTTGCATATTCTTCTAACTGCTCGTTTTCTTCGTTTTCTCGTCTGTCTGACTGTTACCGGCCTATAGTCTGTTTATGATTTGTTTTATTTTATGTACATTTTTTGTTTCTTGAAAGTATCTCACTTGCTCATATACGGCAAGCGGGCTGTCTCATTTGGGTGATTGTATCCGATGAATTATATGTTCTTTTCGTTGTTCCATAATTATGTTGGTTACAAAAACATATCTGTCCCCAAAATAATACTTATTGGTAAGTACTGAAACGTGCATTCTTCTGTTTTATTTGCATTAGTTATTTCTCTCTCTTTTTCCCTGTCCCCTCTTTCTTTCCCCTATTCTTTTCCCTTCTTTTTTCCCTTTGCGCGCTCGCGAATACGTGTGTATTTATCGTGTGTGTGTGTGTGTGTGTGTGCTTAGTCTGCATATCCTTTTCAAAATGTGTAAACATTCTTCTTATTTTATTTCCTTCGTTAGTTCTGTTACAAATCTTTTGAATAGATCATAAAGCATCTTCTGAAATAACAAAAGATGCCACATATTTTTCTAAAAAATATTTTTTTGTTAAGGGCGCTTCTGCTTTCTCCGTTTCACTGTGGTCTTGAGAATCCATTAAACATCTGCCCCAATCCTTGCACCTATGATAATAACACTATTTTGTTCTGCTGCCACCTGTTTGTTTGTCTGTCTGTCTGTCTGTCTGTCTGTCTGTCTGTCTGTCTGTATCTTTCAATAGTCCGTAAGTCTCTCTCTCTCTCTCTCTCTCTCTCTC